TACAAAATACACAGGGGATGGAACGATGGTGCAGTAGTCAGTGCACTTCGCAATCAACCTATCAACCTGAGTTTAATGCCAGGAGACGGCTTACAGCAGGAGAGAGTGACATCTAAACCAGTCTTAGGCCGTTCCTTCACCAACCAATGTAGTGAAGAATGGCCAAACACCCCCGTGCCTGGCACAGCATGGGGAGGCCTTAAAAAGTAGCAGACTGATCAATGGCTATACACTGTGATTATTGTGTTTATTATTAAGCGTCTCCTTTCTGAAGTGGGGCAGCACAAGTCTGTTAGTAGCCTTGAGCCAGGTGTGAGCATTTCACATTTCCATGGCAAAGACGTTAGAAGTAGAGAATACATATTCATTTATTTGGCAGATATTACTCATTGCTTGATTTCCAGCACTATCAAAAGGGCAAATCGGCAAAGTGATGTGTTTTGGTAATTTTATCAAGATATAAATGTGGCGGCCTGTGTTGTATATACAATACAGTGGAACATATTCTGCACACGTTCCAGCACATTTATGAAAATGAATTTAGGCGCAGCCTCAGAACATGCTGAGAATTGCATCTGGGCGTTTAATGCCGGTCCCACTTTATTTATCCAGCTAGTTTGAATCTGTTGTCTTTTCTCAGCCCTGCCATATTCATCAAAACCAGACAACTTTTGCCTGCTCCGATTGCCTCTGGGCGTTTTAGCCAATCGTAGAGTGAATGTCGAGTGTAGTGTGGAGCAGTGTGGAGTAGAGTGGAGCAGTGGGGCGTTTTAGCACCCTCCACCGTGAACTCGAAAACCTGAATTCGATTCCTAGCCACGACTAACATCAGCGATGAGTGATATCCAAATCAGTCCTGCACCAGAATCAATCGGAATCTCTATTTAGACGGGAGGAATCCGATGAGCTATGAAGCTCTGACCAGTATGCTGAAGTGTGGTCAAATAAACCCCATGACCGACATTTTTTGGAGAGGCCTTCATCCAACGGTGGTTTGCCAAATGACTTTACACTAATATTTACACGATTGTCATTTACTGTAGCCAATTACAGTTAGCCAACAGTTTTGTCCTTCACCCGCACCCCTGATTAGCACATTTGACGACGAACGGTGCGAAAGAAGTTCAGCGCACATGCATACAACAGTGTCACGTGCGCAGTGTTGAGCAATTTAGTGTTAATCAAGTCTCGGGTGAACCCTGACGAGGAATCAGTTCTCATCATTGAGGCAACCTTCTGCCGTTTAATGATTTCTATTCAGAGTTAAGCGATTCTGGCATGTGGTTGGGTGGTGCAGGGGCCAGAGCTCTGAGCTGGCACCGATGAGTCCCTGGGTTTCGAATCCGGGCAGTCCGCCAGTGATTACATCCGGTCCTCGCGTGTAAGTGATGCGATGGGCTCAGCACGAGCACCAATAAATACAACAAAAAGGCCATCGCAATGAGTTTGCTTCTGCACTCCATTTGGCTAAATTCCAGCACTAAGAACTAAAAGAAGATATAGGTTTGATTGTCATGCAGTCATGCAAAGAATGTTACTCTCATATACAGAGTGGGTTGGAGAGTGTTTCCTTCTACTGTGTGCACCAGAGGTCACTTAAAGGGATCTCAGAGGCAGCTCTGTGTTATCTACTTCCATCCGTCGTTCTCAAAAACACGAATGGGTCACTCTACTGCGAGAAATTCTAATGGAGAAACGTCGCCTCGTGAAATGACGCGGATGGCACGATCTGGATACAAATGACAAAACATAACAAAATAATAATTTTGCTTCACGGTTAAGTGAACTGTACGTGCACAGCTCCAGTACACTGACAAACCAAGCACTCCATAAAGACAGTCGGCTACTTAAATCTCGTTCGGGGATTATATTTAAAATATAATTGCATGGCGCCGTTGGAGTCGCTTCATGGAATTGCGGCAGTAAGTAGAGGAGCCTCTCCATGGCTTAATTGGCCGTGCATGCGCTGTGGATCCGGGAAGATCTCTAATTGAGCACACGTGGTGCAGTCACGCCACGTTATCGCCCGATGTGTTTTGTACACCGCGTGCAGGATTATGCGCTGCATAATAAATTGTCCCAGTTAAGCGGATCCTCAACAGCTGTTTATTTGTTTCTGATGAAAATAATGTTGGGTCCTTTCCTAAACGCGTCCGTCGATGTCATTTTGGCTAATGCAATTTTGCGGGGGGAGGTGGGGGGGTTAGGGAATCGTGGCCCATGAAGCGTATTTACATCTCATTATGTCTGGTGTAATAATGATAACCGCGTCATTCAGATCACTCGCAGCACGTACTTGTGATTATAACGTGTCTAAACGGATAACGGCTGCTTGTCACCATAGGAATGTGCAATTTTCAGGAATGCCAATGCATATGAAATGCCACCCGCCTCTTGAATATGAACACAACAACAACCGCCATTCACCACTAAGCAGCCGTGACGTCGCCACGACACGTGTACCAGGCTAGGTGCCTTTTGATGCCACGTAATGTGTCAAAGGCTCGCTGGCAGGAGGTTACGAGACAAGCCGAGATGTTATGGACTAACTAACCGACTGGTAGATGCACTACACGCACACACAAACTATAATTGATTTTGTTGCAATAACACGCAGTATATTACAAAGGGGGTTTTATCAACTTCAAAATGTTAAACTGCCAAACACATAGAAAAGCGGGTTTGATGCAAGAATGGCTTGGAAGTGGTGTTGACGGATAACGCAGCTCACGATAGGAAGTTTTCAAGTTCAAATAATCGCTTGGAGTGGTGAGTATTAAAATGAACATCACTTTGTGAATAGTCAACAGTGGCAATCCAATGGGGAGACGGCTGGCTGCGCACGGTGCGAAAGAAGTTCAACGTACGTGCATATGGGACTGTCTCCTGCCGTGGCAGTGTGGAAATTTCCATTCCATAAGAACAAGGTGACACTTGACATTAGAGTGAATGTTCTGGGTGATCTGTTTACATGTGCCCACCGCTAAGTAATACGGAGAAATTACAGAGAGATAAAAAGAACAACATTTACTTTCAAAGTCCCCTACGCGTCTGCCACCAAGCTCAATGCAACGATTAAATCGTTTAACTTTCCTCCTCTGTGAGATATGGAGACATCCCTTGCACAACATTCAATCGTGCATTGAGAAGAAAGTAAGAGGGTCATTATAAGTCACTGGGGCATGCATATATATAGGTGCGTCAGTCTGTATATAAACATACACCATCCTTGTCCCTGCTTTGTATTCAATATTCATCAACAACAGCAACAAGCGATCAAGCTACAGAAAAACCCAACTCCGCAATCATGCATTTTCATTTAAAATGCCAGAATGTAGGCACCGATGCTGTTAAGCGCTAACACGTTGCCGTCCTGCGTCTGTCGTGATCACAGTGTGATTGACGTTAACGTGATACAGCAGGCGTGGTGTGTGTTCATTGAATTGTGATTGATCCACATTGCAGCCCTTGCAATGCCCACCACACGGTGCATTCGGTCTGCCCGGTAATATGAGACAAACGCAACCTGCCCAGAACAGTAACACGACACAAAACACAACCTGTCAACCGATCCGGTGCTCATTTAATGAGATGACCTGAAATGGCCTATTTGATGTGGTGCTTGTCGTACATTACTCTCTGCATACACCATTACACTGAACTTTGCATTGCCTTAAAATTAGCATTTACAAGTTAACAAATTGGGGTGCCGCGGTGGCGAATTGGTACCTCCCTCACCTGGATATACAGGAGGTTGTGGTGTTCGATCCCGACCCCAATGATGCCTGAATATTTAGAGTTAGCATGTCTCTCTCTCTCTATTTAGAGTTAGCATGTCTCTCTCTCTCTCTCTCGCCGTGGTCGTGTGGATTTTTCTCCGGGTCCACGGGTTTTACCCTCCACATTTAGAATCAACGTGCATTCAGAGTAAATCCCCACATGTAATAAGCCACTTCGTTGAACTATCATTTGTAGTCAGGCCGACTCTGAAAATAGCTAATAAGTCTGTGGGTCTTAGCGAGTAATTTAAAAGTGTATAGTTTTATATAGTTTAAAATTCTAAATGTGGATGCCAGATTTCTCACCTGGGCCCATAAATGAGAACCACATGAGCCCAATACTCCGTTCGCTCCACTGGTTCCATTTTCAATCCTGGATCAATTTCAAGATCGCGTTCACCATCCTCAAGATGCTCCGTGGACTCGCCCTTGCTTGCCTCTCCTCCCTCATCTCACTCTCCTCCCCTCCACACAATCCCTTACCTCTCATCTCACTCTAACAGTACCGGAGTAACCTAGTGCGGGGCCTGTAGCATATGTTATAAATGTGCCCTAAATAAATAAATAAAACACACATAAATATTAAAACACAAATGTTTTGAATTTTGATTTAAAGCTTTCGTGACTGCAGTAATTCATATTCTTAGTTTTTTCGGTAAAGTCACGTTGAAGGGAAACAACAAAACAATAAAATATATCACACCTGAAGACGACCGTTTGAGTTATGGTCGAAACGTCGTGAGAATTTTTTATTGTTTTATATATATTTTATTATTTTGTTGTTTCCCTTCAATGTGACTTTACCGAAAAAACTAAGAATACAAATGTTTTACTTGCATAGTAAAGTAATTTGATTTTTTAAATTGCTATACAACCAGATAATCCGACAAATCGCTAACATTAAACACCCAGTCATTCATAAAAGGTGAAGGCAGTATAATACTATATTAATAGAGCACATGCAGAATCACTGAACCGGAATTTATAGCTTGAAAGGATTTAGCGCGGGGCCCTTGAAAGTGCGGGGCCCGTAGCATTTGCTACTTTTGCTACTAGGATAATCCGGCACTGCACTGTACTCTTCTACCTCTTCCCCACTCATCTCTCTCTACTCCCCTCAACACACCCTCCTACCTCTCATCTCACTCTACTCCCCTCAACACACTCTCTCATCTCACTCTACTCCCCTCCACACACTCTCCTACCTCTCCCCACTCATCTCACTCTACTCCCCTTTATGCACTATCTGCCCCAGCAACCAAGTCTGTCTGTTAAAGCAACGCAACAGTCCACCGTCGTTCAGTGGGAGGTGGCTCATGCTACCGAATAGACTGGAACTCCTTACCCATGCTATCGACTTCCTTTCCCTGTTCAAGTGCAGCCTGAAGACCTTCCGTGTTCCACTACTTATGACTGACTGCCTCTATCAACAAACTAAATATTCCCACTTTTTCTACAGAGTGGCTTGATACGCGGTCACATATATACGCTATATACATCCAATTGCTATTACATTGTACTTTATTGTTGCATTACCAGAAGTACACATACGTGGGTATTTTTCAAGCTGTTCATAATGCCAATTATTTTTTGTTAATGTCTCTTTGCCTGCAAACACTACTTTAACAATACAGTCATGTGAAACAGAATTGCCTAAATGCTTGTCGTTTTGAATGACATGTGAGTGAGCTAGAAACAGCGTGCCCTTTACACGTGGAGTGGCAATCAACACTCACGTAGTCGAGGCTTGTTATCCAATTAACAAAATGCAGGTGGAGTGATTGGAAGGGAGCGCTGGAGGAATGCAAGCGTCCTGCGTGGGTGCCTGGAGCACAGCAGTCGGAGGGTTCGCCAGCCCGCAAATTTGCACCAAGTCGACAGCTCCAACCACAACCGCGTGCTGCATTTTACCCGGCATTAGCCAAGCGAGCTGCCAGTTCTAAGTAAAGCCACGTCTCAATCACAGTGTCGCCGTGCTTAAAGCGCAGGGGCAGTCCTCGTCTCCATTGCACGTTCTGAACCAACGTTTGAAATTCCACATTGCTATGATGGGAGTGGGTGGACTGGGAGCGGGATGTATCCTTCTCCTGTGATGATAGATCTCTCCGCGCTGGCGAGATGTTATCTCCTGTGTGTGGTATGCAGGAGGTCGTGTCTGAGAGCCTGCAGACCCTATGTCTGTATATGTGGAGTTTGCGCGTTCTCCCCGCGGTCGCTTAGATTATTGCCTCCACGTTAAGAAACGTGCGTTTAGATTGGTTCGCTGTTGTACATGCACATGCTGATGTGCCACACAGTCGAGCTAGCATTTGTGGCCAGGTCACTTTTGGAAAAGAGCTACATAGCTCAGTGGGCTTTACCTGGTAAAATAAAATAGTTGAGTTTCATTTAAGAGGACATTGAAGACCATGTGATATTATTCACAAGCATACGGCACTCTTGCGTCAATGTCATTGAACGGTTTTAGAACGTCCAACCGGTATGTATTGTTAAATAATGGCTGCTTCTACATCCCGATAGTTACCGTGGCCTGCCTCGAAAAAAGGGACACTGAATCTCAATGAGCTCCCACCTTGTCAAATGAAGAACGATGCATTTAATTGAATGGTGTCATTTAATTCCTCAGGGTGACACGATGCCGTGTCATTGAATTCACCACGCTCATGACATTGTGGTATATTTTCAAAGTGGGCACTCTTCTGTAAATGAATATATGTACAGCACGAAACACTGAATAGAGCAGACGTGATTCTCAAATCGAGCTTTCTGAAGTGTATTTATGCCAAAGACAAAAGTCGAAACCAAATTAGCAAAAAAAACCACAATCATAGAAATTTCTTACATTTGCTCAGACAATGACCAACACGATTTCAAAAAGGTATACCATAAATGCTCATATGTACACGATACATGTGTAAGTAAAAAAAAATCAATAGCAATGCTGCCATTGATATAAAATGGTACCATTCACAAAAAAAATTGGCCCATTCACAATCCGTTTTAAAACGCGGTTCTTTGTCTCAAACGACGTTCGTCATTGATATGGCCCTTCGTGCACACTTCAATGCAGAACCCTGGGTCAATTACAATTGTAATTTCAATAATTTGCAATGAATCACACCCACGGTGGAATTGCGATTTAAGCTACCGATAGCGCTGTGATTGTAATTATAATGGACTCCAGGTTTGCCATCAAAGGGACTTGTGTGATCTATTTCACTTGAATGTTCTCTTCAAAAAGTGGATATGAGAGAGCATTTTAATTTGTAATTATCTAGCAAATAATAGTTGGGTTTGACCTAATCACAGTATTTATATATATAACGATATACATAGGCCAACATCAATTCGTTGTTGTGTGAGTCAGCGATGACTGGCCGATGCCCATTGTACAGAGCGGTCCAGATGTCTTGTGATCCCCCCAATTAATTTCACTAAAACCTAATGAGGTTTATTTAAAACAGAAATTAATATGCAAAGGGAAAAACAATGTTAGGGGTGAATTAATTTGGGGCCACAATACATCTGGACTATCCTGTACTCAACATCCAAAAACACCTGGCGTTTGTATCGTCAGGAGCGACACAAAGAATTTGAATACACGATCTCACTGGCGTTGGCTAAGTGCTGTTTACATGCATTATACCCTGAAGCCACATGGCCAGAGAAAACATAAACACAGCTTGTTTACAATGACGTTACAAAACCCATGCCGGTAAAACTTACCCATCGTATGCGCACGCACGTAAACACACACCCACAGCGCACACGTACGCACGTACATACGTTTTTCGAAGCATATTAAAGACAAGTATATAATATGCATAAAACATATTGCAAATGTCAGCAAAAACAATGTAAGCAACTGAATGCAAGTTGTATTTGTATACATACTATGTCGCACAACTTCAATAATGTTATCGAGGGAGGAGTGGCGGGGTAAACGTTTGTACATATATACCAATAAATACAGAATACGTAAAACGTGTTTAATGCAGTGTGCATTTTCAGGTATACTTTTAAGAATAAATTATGTCTCATCTATTCCCTTCCAGAAACAGTGCTCGGTCTATTGAAATGTTGTTACGAAGCTGGTTTGTAGACACTCGTTTAGACAACCTTAGATTTAAAATCTCATATAAAATATTATCCTCAGCGAAGTTGCAACAAAATACACCAACGTTGACATGGCAAGCGTCCGCCTCACTTCCCAACACAGCTGATACATCCCAAATGGACTCTCTGCGGCTCAAATGTTGGACGACAATGATTTAATACGCGTGCATTCCAGTACCTTGCGTGCACACTCGCCATGCACGTGTGCCGACTTTGGTCTTTGTGGAGCACACAAAGTGTACCGGTTGCCTTCGAGAATGAACAGGGCGAAGCTGTCCCAAGCTCTGGCCCCGTGGAGCTTTAATTACCTTTTAAGCAACATCGATGAAATAGTCCCAATTGCCACTGCCGCTACTGCATGCCGCATAGTTCACCATGGGCCGGTCTCGAACCCTGCTCCCTCCTCTTACGCACAAATGGTTTTGCATCGGCCGTGCAAGCTAAGCGGCTAGCCGGCAGCGCACTACCAAACATCCATGAAATACGCGTCTACAGGGTAGCAAATGTTGCTTTGACTTTAATACCAAACCGGGCAGAGTGATGGGCAAGGACTCTCCTAATGGATGGCGAGGGAGGTAGTGCCACGTGAGGGTTTTTTGTCCTCTCGAGCCAATGTCCCCACGTGCGTTGGTGCCCTGGCTAATGGCTTTGGAGCAGTGTGTGTGTGTGCTCTTGCCCCAACAACCTGTTAGGGCTATACGGGGGATCTTTGTCTTTGTGTCTTAATGTGTAGTGGTTAGCGCACTGCGCTACGAACCCGGCATCTCGAGTTTGATCATCTGGGCCGGTCACGGGCCTACTCTAGGTTGACTCGGCCTCAAATTAATATCTGGTGCGGTGTGTAAATATCAACGCTAGGGAAAACAAAAAAGGCGGTCAGGCGTGGTACTTGCCTCCCACCCCATCGTGTACCGTGCTGGTCTTCATCGTTGCTCGCTAACAACACTTGCCCCAAAAGTCTATTAACGCTATACGGGGGATCTTTATGTCTTAACATGAGATGATCCCTACTAATATAGGGTTATCGCTGCTCATCATCTTCTTGCTACAATGCATTTTGGCTGTAGGCTTTTCATACGCAGTGCGGTAATTAGTTTGACTTATCAGCACAGAGCGGTATATTGTCGTCAGTGTAAAGGCTGTTGCGTTTGATTTGTTTAACACAATTTTCCATAATTGCGCCTCAATTCGAAATGCCGAGAATACCGTATATTATGGTAAGGTGGGCTAGGCAACATGTTTTGAGAACAATGGACAGTAAAACAAGAACAACCTCAAATCGAAGCATCATTATCATCATCAGCAGCAGCAGCAGTAGCCGTGATCAATCCACTGCTGTATCAAGGCCTGCCCTCATGATCCGGCGATATATCAGCCTTCTCAGTACCTGCACGCTCGCCGACTTCCACACAACTGCCTCCCTGCCAAAGTTAAATGTCAAATTGCACATCTGGTGCACGAATCACATACATTGACAGCATATGCTCATTAATGCTGAAGAGTTCCTATATTTGATATGCGATTAAAATAAAATCGTTGTTTGTATCAATTTACTAATACTGCCGATGTCAATGTCATTGTCTGTATAACTTTAAAGAGTCTGTGCACCCATGTGTCGCTGTCGTCGGCGTAACTAGAAAAAACTGTGGCTGATTACACGATTCAACTTCATTATTTTATGTTAATTGACGGTGCTTCGAGTGACGAGTGGGACATTGACAGTGCATTTATTCACAATGCATGTGAGCAAGAGGCCAACACCACCAATAATTAGGAGCACGCGGGTAATCATCATAATCGCGCTTGATCCTCTGCGAGATAAATGCGAAGCGTTGAAAGTTAACACGATGATGAAATGGCAATCGTTTCTGTTGAGCAGCGGAGCAGAAAGATGAGCAAGGGGGGTTAAGATGAAAGGATTTTCAATAACACGGGAATGTGCCACATTCAACTAAATTGCCCCGGGCCTCCTTGTTAATGGCTTAAGCACCGTTGACCCCACTGGTGTTTAAGAGAGGAATGTCATCGTTGCGTGATGATTGAGCGGTGGCGGGAGGGGTGGTCGTGTGTCTTTCCAAAAAGGAAGCTCAGATTTTTGGTCATCCGCCCCATGTGTTCCAACCGCGGTGCATTTATTGCAAATACGTGACCTTAATTAGAGAGCTTCGGGTCGAATGCAATCATGTACGTCACCACAACCTAGTCGCTTTTGTTTTTCCTTAACACCCATCCTGTAAATGCATGTGGAGCTGTTCTCAGACACGGGGTGATGCACTGCTACCTGCCGAGTTCCAGAATGGAAGTGTATTCGTCGCAATTACACGAGATTGTTACTTTTATTGTTACGCGTGTTTACCTAAGAACGCCTCGCTGAATCTCAAGACTCGTTTTCAAGAGGGCCCTGCCAGGTTTTCACGGCAGGGGGAGCGCGATGTTGCTCTCTGTAATTCCAATGGAGTGATTTGCAGCTAATTTTTCAGCACTGGGATGTCTGTCCAATAACAGTTACATTGTGTGTTGATGTTTAGCTGAGAGCCAACCGCAGAACTCTGAGGAAACTCGTGCAGAAGAGGGGAACAACATTCAAACTTCACACAAAAAGGGCCCCCCCCCCCCCGGGTCCAGAATCACACCCAGGCCCTTCTTGTTGTGAGGCACAAGCGTGACCAATGTGACACTCTGCCACCCACTCACGTCACAATTTTAATATAATTTTGGACAAAAATGTCTTGTGCAAGATTTTTCATTTCCCGTTTCACAAGCAAAACTTAATAATGTTGTCGGGATTCGACAAATCTGTGGAGAATCTGTTTGTTTGTGGAAAATGTACAATTTGTCTATTATATATATTTTTAGGCGAGGACACATGCACACAAGGCATGTAAGGTTACCACATAATCTAACATTGAGGGTTGAGAGAAACAGTCTTCACTGGCTTTATGTCCTTGAAATTAATTCAGAGATTTGATTGACAGCAATGGAGGTCAGTGTCATGTAAAGCGTCTGTGTGATTCATTAATTAATGCAAGAAAATGACATCTGTACAAATATTGAATACTCGGAATTACATTTCTTCTACAGCACGAATAGTTCACATATACACGAGGGTGTTATATACAATTACGATGTTTAGACTTCATCAATTGCGGTTGAAAACTTAAAAAGTATGGAGCAACTGTATAAGCGAAAATCAAGAATACTAGTCCATCTTACCAACAGGAAGATAAACTCTATACATTCATCAACACCAACAGCAGGTGACCTCAAATAATTAATCTCACTGGATGGTAGTAGTGAGAAGTACTTTTTTTTATTTTCAAAGAGTCCCTAGGTGCTGTTTTAAAAATATATATTTTAGAAATTTCGTGTTTAGGAAGAAAACCGATACTCTGTTAGTCACAATTTAAAAGACAGATTTCACATATTGACTCGTGATAACAAAGCTTATAAGAGTTGCGCATTTAAAATTGCACTTACTTACGTGATCCGCTATTTCGTTTAATTTGCATGGCACATGACAAGCAATGCCATTATGCAGTGTGTCGATTCAATTGTATTTTCATCACCAATTTAACTTTCTCACTTGATTTAAATGAATGAAACTTTAAAAAATATTATTTATACGAAGCTAAATGTCATTACAAACATTTGCCCGCTCAACTGTAATGAAAGCAATTGCTGAAAACGCCACTATCTGTGGAATACTTTGGGGGAAAAAAAACGCATCCAGGGACCTTGTACCGAGTTAATGTTCCACATAGCTGCTTCTGGCAATCACTTCCAGGCCTTTTCCACATTCGCATCATGTCACTCGAGTTAAAGCGATGCACCGTGCGCATCCGTCACGTGCCGCCACATTGACTAAAACAGCAGCCACTCTCATCATCGACCGGCAGAGGTTTAAAACTGGGTCACCTTCCGTTTCCACTTGGAGCCGGCACATCTCAGCGTCTTCCACAAGAGCAAACTCATTCGAAGACGGGGTAGTGGTGGGGAAGCGGTGTGGGGGGGGGGGGGGGGAGGTTGGTGGTAGCTGTGGGGCAATCACACCCTGGTGAAGCTCACGCTCCTCTGCGGTGGGTGGCAGTGGTCGGGCCGGGCCTGCCCTCCGCCCCCCGCGTCTCCCACCGTGGGCCTTCGCGCGTCGCCGCCTCCTCCTCCTCCTCCTCCGGCGCCGCCACCGCCCCCCCAGTGGAAGGCGGCCGCTGCCACGGCGGCCACGGCGGCCGACTCCTGCGTGCTGAGGCTGTAGCGATCGGGGCTGGGGCTGCAGCGTGTCGTGGAGCTGTCTCGCGCGTCGTAGCCGCAGCCGCGGTGCTGGCTGTACGACGTCGTGCGCCCGCTGTCACCGCGGCCGTCGTGGAAGCCGTACCAGAACCACGGCCGCCCCCTCCAACCGCCGCCGTCGCCACGCCACCGTCGTCCGGCCTGTTTGCCACGGCCTCCTCCTCCTCCTCCGCCGCCTCCGCTGCCGCAAGGGCAGCAGCCGCACAGCTTGCGGAAGGCGGCACGGAATTTCTGTGACATGGCGTTGTAGACGACGGGGTTGATGGCGCTGTTGGCGTACAGGCAGAGGCGGCAGAAGAGCAGGAACCACGCGTCGTGGTACGGCGACGACACGAAGGAGTTGACCACCACCAGCATGCGGTAGGGAAGCCAAAGCACGGCGAAGAGCAGAACCACGACCGCCAGCATTTTGGTCACCTGCGGGTTGTGCGTGTGCACACGTGTGGAGATGGAGAGGAGGAGAAAGGGATGGGTTGGAGAAAGATCGGTGATCCATTGAATTAAGAAATTGTTGACACGTTCAAAAACAGCGACCAGAGTGCATTGTGAATGTTTCTTTTGCGTAGAGAAATCGTGGATAAATTGCGTAGACACTTCCTGTGGTATAATGTTTAGTGAAAAAAAATTAAGAGAATTGGAGTCATAATTAATTTATTTCTTGATTCAGCATCAATTCATTTATTCCCCATACAAATGTTTTACCCACAACTCACCGAGTCTCAACTAATTTTCAAGACTGCTGCTATGGATATTTGGCCAATTCCCATCTTGAATATGTCTGACTACGATGGAAATCAGAGGCCCCGCGTAAAACCCCACGTACGTACCAGGGATCAATGATCAAAATAAAGCATGCCAGAAGGTCAGTCACCTACTTTATGTACTGACTTCTACTGATCCACCCTCACTATTCCCCTGCAAGCTGATGTGTCACCGAGATGCTGATCTCTGTGCAATCCAACAAACTCGCCCCCTCTCACCATGGCATTACAGGCATGCATCACTATTCCCGTCACAAAGAAAAATACATTTGTCACGCTGGGTGATACAAATAAATAAAAAATCCCCCATAACAGCACACGATGAGATGTTGCCGTGGTATAACGGTTCGCGCACTGGACTTGCAATCCGGCGGCTGCCGGTTCAATCTCCCGGCGTGGCAGTCGGAAACAATGGTGCACGCTTATTTAATCGCCCCCACCGCCTCTTTCGATGGCGGCAGCAAACGGAAAAATTGGTAGAGCCACGGTTAGCCGAGCAACAGGTCCCGTGTGGGGGGTGGGGGGTAAAGTGTGGCCCCTCTCCACCTCTTCCAAGACATCCGGCCAGAGTGGAAGCTTTGGCCAAACACTCCCTGCAGTTGCGGTGGCCAACTGGCAAGCGGCTTTCTAATCCACCACGTGCAGCTCTATCGAAGGGGCTTAATGTAAAAGTACTATCACAGTAGCAAAAGAATAATGAATTAAAATTACATGAAAAGTTGTATGACGTAATATTATATATATACACTTGACTCTGCAGAACTCATGGGTAATTTGTGAGTCTTGGTCTGTTACAGGTTGGCCACCCCTGCTCGACAGCATTGGTAACCAACCTTTCTGGACCCACGGACGAGTGTCAACCCTCAACAAATGTTCACCGAGCACCGTGGCGGTAACAAACAAACAAAAATCCAGTGTTTGTAAGAAAAAAAGATCTGCCAGTTTCACAGATCACGTGCCACGGGCCTTGCAGACCACAGGGTTAGGAACACGCTGACCGGTTGGGAAGGCTGCCTCGAGTTGAGGCCCGTTTGTCAGCAGTGGCGTGAGCAAGCAAGTTGCAGGGCTGCACCTTTGCTTTTTGTTTTGGTGTAATTTCTTAATTTGTTTATTCATTTGTATTTGATTTTACTTGGTGGTAGTAGTAGTAGTAGGGGTTTCCATTTGCTTGATAGTGGCTGTAAATGGGATTTGGGCCTCATATATAATTCATGTACAGCGTTACGGGATGCTATGAGCATGAATGCCGCCAAATAAAATGAAAGAATCATTATTATTTACTTTTACCAGGGCAAGCTATGTGTGTACACACTACACTCTCCGGATTACGTGGCATATGTTTCCCGCCCATCATGCTTTGCATGTTTCCAAGCGCGAAAACTTCATTTCTCCAATTTATGGAGATCGTCATTGACTTTAAGAAGTTGGGTTTTGCCGGGAGTCAGGAGGTTTGTGTGATCTGCAGCAAGTTTTCCCAAATGTCTCCACTATCCCTCGCAAACTGGCATCAATAGCCACCATGATAATTCTTATACAGAGAGTAACCGTCACGTAAAATCTGACCTGTTTGTTACTAACATTGATATCTCTAGACACATTACTGACCTGATATAGTATCCACGTTCGAGCAGCAGATGTGGTTATTTTATTATCTACACAAATAAGCGAGCAGCTGCCTGAGTCACGTGATCCAATAGCTGAGAAACAACAACAGGTGCAAGGCAGACCCTGAGAACCCAGTCTGAAATTGATATTAAACCAAATTGTGTGCTCTAAGCTGCTGGAACTTTAACCCTGTCACCAATGGATTTGGGTAATTTTGTGACCTGCCACCTGGATGCGAAAATACATTGACAATTCTGAGAAATGTATTCAAAGCCACAACATATATACGCCGTTTGGATTATCTTCGTTTTTGCCACGATTGGATTTTCACCCTGACACGAGCATAATGCTGGACAAAGAAGATTTTCACTTTTGAATTACATAGTTTTTGTGTGCTTTGTGTGCTACGTGAACTGCGATAACAGTCGAATTTTAACTTTGCTTCCGTCCCAACTCTAAGCAACACACCAACTAATCCACACGTCGGGAACCCATTGGCTCTCTGAGCAATAGGCAACACGAGCAGGAGATCTGAACCTTGTTTGTGCGCATGGGCAGCGGTGTCGCAGTGGTCACCGCATCGCGCACGAATCCGGCAACCGGCTAACGTGAGCAACGAATAAGCCCAGAACTTCTCCTGGATCTCACATAGGTCAACTCAGCCTTAAAAAAAAACTGTGGTGTGCAAACATCAGCACCGGAGAGACAAAAGCAGCGAGGCGGCATGTTGTTCGCCACACCACACCGTCGCATGCCATGTTGGCCCTAATAGGTGCTCGCTAACAGCACTTGCTCCGACAGTCTACATCACATGTAATAATGTAACAGTAACGTTTACTTTCATGTCGCGTCGTCGTTCGTGCAAATCGCGTGATCTCACAATGCCGAGGAACCGCAGGCAAGCCAGAAGGTAGGCAGATGTCGAGCCGGTGCCAACAATTGCCCAAGCTCAGGAGTCCTCTATATCTTGAGATGTTTTCAGTCAATTAAATGTACGTAGCGTAAGGTGTAGTGGCTCGTAGGTAGTAGAACACTGAGCAGCGGCTACTGCACGTCTAGGTGTTTGTGGTTTGCCATTGTCACCACGGAAGACTCATTTATCTGCCTTTGCCAGTTGTTGCTGCGTAACAAGGGCAGGCATTTAACTCGGGGATGGAAGCGATGGCGAGGTGTGTTGGAATTAAGAGGCACATTACGGCTCGCTTGTGTCACTGCAGTCACGGCTAAACGGGGTATTACTTTGCAATGTGGGAAAAGCCCTCCATGCCAGGTTTTATACTTGGGCATTGTTACAAGAGCTTGGCCTGGGCATCTCCTCGGTCAGGGGTCGGCAAAGCAAAATAACAACAAGAGCCCATTTTTTTCGAATTTAGTAGAAAAGAAACCTCACTAGTGCAAGAGCCGCAATGCACATGGTGAATACAAGACGGTGGTCCTTAATAAATAATGTGGCGGGAGCAGTCCTTAAAGGGCCGCGTTGCGTCTACGGAACCGCAGCTTGTCGACCCCTGTTCTAGGTCTGCTCGGCATGAAATGACAGCCTGCTGCGAGCGCATCCATGGACGCACGTGAGAGACGTGGATTTGGTGAGGTTACACCATCTCCTTGTGTGCCGTGCAGATCGTAAAAGATGCTCGCTAACAGCACGTACCCTGTAAAAAAATTATGAATTGTATTTATTATTAATGACATTTTAGATATAATTTATATATGAAATTAATTAAATCATGAATGAACGGTATATTTTGCCCATTGTGATGCAAAGGAATCATTCATGCGGTGGGAATGCATTCCATAAATTTACGAGCACAATATTAAGCACAATTAATACATTTTCCTTTTGTACGACACATTCATACGCCAAATGAAAAACGTCATGTCCTCTCGTTAATGAATGCTGGATGTTTACGCTGGGATGTTTAAGGCAGACCAGTCTTCAACGGAAGAATAAATGTACTCGAAGGTTAGTAATTGGGAGAAAAATGTGCACTTCGACTGTGGCGCACATTGACTTCCCTTTAGTGACAAGCGCAACAGGATCTTTAACATCGTCGTCATGACACCTCCGATTAGTATGGTTGGCTACAGTACGTACGGTGCGAAAGAAGTTCAACATACATGGATACATGGCTAGGCGCTCGCTAGGCATGTGACAATTCACCCTCTCAGCGATTCGATGAATCGTCAAAATTGCAATTCGCCTAAAATAAACGGTTACTTTTTGTCTCATTTCACCCTTTCGTTTGTGCTGTTTCTCATCGTGGCTTTCTTTCCCGTCCATGCTGTTTCGTTTGCCCGATTAGTCTAAAATGCAAACTCGTAATTTAATGTAATCCATTCTCATAATTAATTTAATTATGAGAATATGTGTGGAACCTGAGCGGAAGAATCAACGATTTTTTTTGTTCTGTTGCATCGCTCATCCTAACACCTTACAGAAATTACTGGGCAGTCACGGGCATTGAACACAGCTCAGATAACTCACCGGTAAACAGGCATTCCATCAACTGGAAGAAATGAGTAAATACAGACGATAATAATAATAAACCTACCAGCATTATTTGGCTGAAAAGTTGACCTTCAACATTTCATTGTCCCTTCTAAAAAATGCATGCAAACTAAAAAAAAATTCATGCTGTATCTGTGTGCATTATTTGTGGAATCAAAGCATTTACTGCATTCAAATGAGTTTAAGGTCAGCACTCCGCTCCAGCTATGCAGAGTGACGTGCTCCGTGCCGGGTCTTTCATTCGCAGGTGTCACGAGCAGGCACTTCCAATCGGACAAAATCACACAACGAGGGGCAGTGCACCGCCTTGGGTCAATGGTATCAGAACTATTTATGAACATCCCACCAGCATGCAGTTTGTCCGCACGCCCTTGTGATAGATTGTTATCGCGCAGCGACCAGAGTGAAACGTTTTGTACCTGGGAGCATCTGAAGCTGCAGCCCAGCGAATTCTTGCTCTTGGCACATGGCGCTGCGGGCATGAGCCAAGGGCTCTAAGAGAAGCCCTCTGGCCTACTTTTCCACATTGGCCAGAGGTGAGAGGGCGAGGGAGGTGGGGAGAAGGGAGAAAAGCAAACCGCCAAAAAAACCAGGCCTCCACCGATGGCCGAGATCACTCACCAGCTGAGGTTTTCAACGCAGCAAAGTGCGGCACATGCTGCTGCAGCTCTGAAGGACTGTGCTGGCATTTAAGGAGTCGGTCACTCCAACAAGAAGAATAAGGAGTTGCGGACGAGGCCGAGTCAAGCCACTCCGCCGCAAGCACGTGGGCTAAGTCAGCGAGCAAGCGGCCTCGCAGCGTTCCAGTGACAAAATCTTCAGTCCCAAGGGCCAGGAGCACCACAGATTGAGTACGGGCCGAGACAGAACCTATGTATGCACGTATGTTGAACTTATTTCGCGCCACCGTACGTAGCCAACCGTGCTAATCGGAGGTGCGGACAAAGGACAACAAACTAACACACAACAAGCAGTCCTAAATAAATGAGTGTTCCATCTATATTTAAAAGTGCATAGCTCCAGTGGCTTCCTAATATCGGACAAAAGAGCATTCCAGGCGGCCACAGAAGCGCATCTGAAAGGGCGCGATTCATGTCATCGTCTTCAAACAAGGCGGACCTCCATCCTCTGAGTCCCCCTCGGGGGTCCATCTCTATGACAACGGGGGGGGACCCTCACCAAGCATCCACACGTGACACTTTGTGATCCTGCACGGTACTACGCCAGGCCATCGAGACAGGGGACAATAAGGGTGTGACAGTCTCCATAACGGTCCCTGCCACATCAGCATTCCCTACCCTGCACCGAGGTGACCCCGAGTAACGAAGATGGTGACTGGAGGTGAGGAGACGGGGATGAGGGTAGAGGGAGGGAATGGGAGAGGGGGCCCGTAGGGATAAGAGGGGACGTACAGCAGGATTGAAGGGAGGAGAGAGCTGTGGGTGAATATGAGAGAGCTGTGGATGAAGGAGGGAGCTGTGTGCAAGGGAGCAGGTGGAATAGAGGACTGGAATCCTTACGTGTCTCCACGTGTTGGTGAGGAGAGTGCCCGCTACTCGGGGAAATTCTACGTCGCATACCCACAGTACCCAGATGCCAGGGCTATTTGGATTAAGTGGGTAGGTGTCTGATTGAGCGTCTGGAATGGTATGCTCTGTGTTGTATTGCTTGTGGTGCATGCGTTGGGTCATTGATTGTATGCTATTGTGTTCTGTTAATAGCTGTGATATAGCAACTAGTGCAGCAACTCTACCCTGTGTGAAGAGTACAAATCTACTTCCATGAAGTTCATGATTACTTCGAGTGGAATGTGTCTGATTGCGCAAGTGCTTGAGGCTGCTTAGCCTGCATATTTTTGGGCTAATAAATGATAAACAGGGGTTATTATTTCGATATTTTTTGACAATGCTACTCCAAATGGGATGTACGCCCGAAGCCGGCCACTTGATCCCTCAATCCCTCACCTTTACAGGCACTGCCGTCCTTTTGCCGTGACGGTACGCGCATTCGTCATTGATGAGGCTGGGACCATTAACTCACGTGGTCTGTGAATCCAGTTGAATCATGGGTGGCCGCACGCTTTCAAACCCTGGCTCTCACCATCACCAGCTCAGTGCCCTGACACAGTACTAGCTCCTCAAGCCACCCAGCCATCTCCACGAGAAGATAGAGTTTATAATGCGTCGCTATCGCGCTATTGTTGCCAGCACTCGAGAGAAGCTGCGTGGATTTCATGCCGCTGTCTGGTGGAGGAGGCTCCGATAAAGCCGGTGCTGTTGCATTCCGTTTACTCATCTGCTCGTGTCACCTGAAATTGGAAAAAGTCAAAGTGGAATGTATCCTCGTGATAAAAATAATTTAGTGGATTTGGTATTTCCACCATTTGCACAGTGCAAGGCCACCCCCGAAGGTGCTATCTCACAAATGCGTATAGTAGTAGGCCGATAATAGAACAATGTTGTTGTCGTGTGGTTTCACCTGATTAAGAAATTGGTAACACTTGTGTTTCACAGTTAGAAGGTCCACAGTTCAATTCCTGACCTGGGAATCTTTCTGCGTGAGATCTCTCCGGGGATTCTCCGGTTTCCTCCCATGGCTAAAAACAGACAACAGCACTCGTGCTGGGCAAACGCGACGCTGGAGCCTCCAAAAAAATAACAAAAGGTCAACAGACCCAGTAGTGTGTTTTTTCTGGGAAAATAAGTCAACTGTATTTGAAAATAAGTCTATTTTTTTTTTACTTTTCTAATGCTTTTACTACCACCACTGGGCCCGGTCGCACGCACACCTGCTTGCGGGAGGAGTAGGCGCTCTTGCCCCGGCGATTGACGGACGGCACCGCGCCCGAGCACACGGCGGCCAGGGGCAGCGAGAGCGGCACAGCCGGCGCCGCCAGCGTCCGCGACGCGGGAGGAGGCGGCAGGAGCGGAACGGGTGCCGGGGAGGTGAGGCAGGATGGGTTGGCAGCAGCGGCGGCCGCCCCCTTGGCGAGCACGCGGGCGATGAGCGCGTAGAGCACGCAGGCGAGGACCAGCGGCAGCACGTAGAATGCAGCAAAGTCGAAGAAGTAGATGGGCAGGTAGAGGTTGCGGCTGACGCGATAGCCACACTCCGTGACGTTCGAGCGCGGATCTTCTCCCCCGCCTCCTCCTTGGCTGCGCGGGTGCACGTCGACGAGGAAGAACCAGACGAGGCAGTAGATGGCCGTGCTGCTCCACACCAGCGCCAGGATGCGCTTGGCGCGCGACACGGTGCACAGCGACTGAGCGCGGATCGGGTGGCAGATGGCGAGGTACCGCTCCAGAGTGAACGCCGTGATGGAGCACGAGGACACGTTGATGCCCAGGTACTGCAGGTACGTGATGGCCAGGCAGCCCGCGTAGCCGTACACCCAGCTCTCGGCCAGGCTGTCCGAGACGTTGGGGAGCCCGGCGGCGAGCAGCACGAGGAGATCGGCGATGGCCAGGCTGCCCAGGTAGTAGTTGGTGGGCGTACGCATGTGCTTGGTCCTCACCACCACCAGCACGATCATGACGTTGCCCACGATGCCCGCGCCGCAGATGGCGAGCACGAGGGCGAGCGACACGGCGCGGTACGTGGCCGTGTAGTGGTCGGGTGGCGGCGACAGGGCCGCGAAGGTGACGTTGGCGCTCGCGTTGGCGCCCGCGAGCGGTGCGGCCGTGGAATTGGGAGAGAGGGCGTCCATGCCACCGGTGGCACCTCGCGGCGGCCGCGGCGGCTGTGGAATGAGAGAGGGAACGCAGAGGGGTCGACACGCCAGATCGGAAGTGAAGTGTGACACGCGTCGGTGATTCCCCCCCCCCCCCCCCCCCCCCTGGCCAAAATATAAAAGCCAAGTTGAGGTGTATGGCCCCAAGCAAACTTACTCAAGGAGCCCCAGTTCATGAAAACAAATTAGGGTGCGTCAAATATCTCACAATTCCAATCCTAATAAATATAACTAGCAAATATAACCTTTATTAAATCCAGATCTCGTCTGCACCTCAATACATCTCTATGAATTTTTGTCAATGTTTCTCGAATCTGTCATCGGTCACGAAGTGTATTATTTGAAAGTGGAGCTGCCAAAAATAATTTATGTTGAGGACCCCCCCCCCCACCACCCCAGCAATGGCCCAGAACCACCACGGATTCGCACACACCCCCAATCCGAAACTCTGGAGGTGGGGTTGGTGAATCACACGGAGATCATCATGTCATGCTTGTTATCATCATCATCACCACCACCACCGCCGCCACCCGTCTTAAATATTGGAGATTACGAAGCCTGTCCTTTGATCCCGTGCAATACTGTATTCAGGGAATGTATTACCTTGAAAATGATTCATACAATGAGTGCTGTACTACGCTGTGAGTAGTCAATATTAGTTGCCTGTGAGAGTTACTGGACCATGTCACATGACTGTGGAATTTCCACCAGCATAGGTGAGCACTATCTCAATACCAACGAGTGTGGTTACGCACATTATCAGGAGAGTAATTATTCACTCTACCGACGATTCAATTACCACTATTGAGGGTCGTTATAAAATCATGACTTAATTACATTTTTTAACACTGCAGCCAATATAGCGGCCTCTAGAGGCTGCAGATATGACATGATTCCTTTAAATGCCAAAATGAACCAATTATAAACATCTATTCTTAAGAATCAATCAATTGATGCGTCGTTACACCCGGAATCATAATTTACCGTCTCACTAGGGCACCACGGTGGCGAGATGTTAACTACCTCACCTGGTAAACAGGAGGCCGTGGGTTCGATCCCGACCATGACGCCTGTATATTTGGAGTTTGTATATTCTCCCCCTGGTTGCATCGACTTTTCTCCGGGTCCTCCGTTTTTCCCCTCCATATTAAGAATCAACATCACGCGTTTAGAGTATTTGGCTGCTATCAATTTCCACACGATAAGCCACTTCGTTGAGCTATCATTTGTGGCCAGGTCGCATCTGAAACAGAGCTGTATCGCTCGTGGGCCTTACGTAGTTTAAAGCTTTCAAATAATGTGAAACCATACAATAGCAATCGACTGGTGTGCGACAAGTTGCCACAGGTTGTCAGTGCAACAGGTTCGTCCCTGATTTATGGACCAGGTTAAAGATAAAAGTGCAGCCCTGAAATTCCCGTCACACGCCACTGCTGGTGGAAGGGCCTCCACTATGTGGAGCTCTAAAGAGCCCCGCGAAAGAGGATTTGGCCTACTCTTCCACGATGGCCAGACGTCTTTGAAGAGGTGGGAGTACTCACACTTGACCCCACCGCAGGTGACCTGCCGATCGACTAAGTGCGGCATACCCATTCATGCCTCTGGGTGGGCACTTTGCACCGATGACCTCTGGATTGCAAGTCCAGTGTGTTTACCATACATCATAGCATAAATGTAGGACCCATCTGATATAGAGTCTCAACGAGGCTGTAGTGGATAAACTCGTTTTAAAAATATATATCTAAAGGATTTTCATTATTAATAATGTAATACAACATCGAGCCACGTTTCATTTCTGTGTTGTCATCCGCATTTTTACACAAATCCCAGATCTCATTTAAATGGCCAATGACATTCACAAATGTCAAGTTATTTCCATACGAGTATTGTTTGCTACGAATTATTAATAATTGATAATATTAATTAAAGAACCCATCCACACGTGGGTGCAGAGAGATCGTTCACATTTTTTGTGGGGAAATTTAATGTCAATGGTGCTTCCCTTTTTTTCTATGTCCACTGGAGGTCAAGTGGTCTAAGCAATAAATTTTGAAGAGGGCTCCTTTTCTTAATAAAGACAACACTGCTCTCAAGGGAAAGACCCTGCAGCTCTGGAGCCCATCCAATCACCCAGGACTTAATAAACATAGCTTAGCAACAAGGCAGTGCTGGGCGTAGGCAAAAAAAGTGCTTCAGTAGAACAAGGTTTTTTGTGTTGCATTTTAACCCCAGCTGAATGCCACTTCTACAATCAGAACGTAGGGTGCAGCAGCGGTGAAATTATTTGCGGACTGCGCCGTGAACTTGGTAGTGCAGAGTTTGACTCCGGGCCGTAGCTAATATCAGTGGCCAGTGATACATGCACCAGTCGTGGGTCGCTTGCATCACCAGCCCCCACTGACGAGCGTGGTGAACCATGGGCAAGCAACCCCAATGACCGACACTGAATGGAGAGGTCACAATCCAGCAGTGGATTAGCAAAGGGGGTGGTAAATTATTATCATTTACACTCAGATTAGTCGAGATGTCAAGTAGATGTGAATCTTAAAAACAAGGGTTAAATCCCATCCAACGTTTACTGATAATCATCACCATATTTCCATGGTGGATAAATTTAACGCAACGGTATATGGTAAGCAAGCAAACTGAGCTTGCTCTAATCATATCATGGTCATTGTCATAGCAATGTGGAATTACCACCAATGGCTCAAGACTTACAGCTTCAACGATCACCGCCCAATGCTCGTTTCATTTAGAGAAGATCTTAAAATTTTCGATTTAAAGCTTTCGTGACTGCATGGATTCATCTTCTGGGTTCTTTCAGTAAAGTCACGTAGAATGGAGATAAAATAATAAAAAAAAATAATAACAATACAATTCTCACGACGTTTCGGCCACAACACAAGTAGCCTTCCTCAGGTGAAGAAACTGGACAGCGCTGTCTTCCGGACAGTCCTGTTTCTTCACCTGAGGAAGGCTACTTGTGTTGTGGCCGAAACGTCGTGAGAATTTTATTCTGTTATTATTATTTTTTATTATTTTATCTCCATTCTACGTGACTTTACCGAAAGAACCCAGAAGAAGATCTTGAAATGCCTAAAGACGTAACATCCAGATGATTTATATTCATCCGATTCGATTGGTACTCACGAATAACAGTGGAAATTAGTGTCTAAAATCAGACTCGGTCCTCTCATTGGTCGACAACCAGAAAGGAGTAATTGGTGCGATATGCATGCCGGTTGACATATGCCCCTTAAGCTGCTTAATAGGTGCTCACTAACATTACTCACCCTGACAGTCTATAAGGCTAAACGAGAAACACATATACTCGTGGAACGGTATGTACATACGTTGCAGTTCGTGCGCTGAGCCATCGATATTGCTATTGATTTATAATAAACGTATATAAAAAAGCAGTGTACACTGGTAGCGTATACATATAAATCAATAAACAATTTCACGACCATAGAGTCTTGAAATGCGTAAAATCTACGTTTTAAAAACAACTGCGTTATATGGTGGCAGTTTAATAAAGTCTTAGACATCATTAATCATATTCTTACATGTGACAGCACTTACACATCGGTCATATACTGTAGCATCCACAAACAGGCGGAAAACGTACAGAGAGAGCCCTTCTGTCAATGCACTGCTGGATGAAGGCTGTTGTCGGTGTTTGGGGGTTGTTGGACCATACTTCACCAACCCGGTCAGCGCGCCTTGATGAGCAGAGGAAGGGGTCCCAGGACCAGTTCGCATATCACTCGCCACTGATGTTAGCCGTGGTCGGGAATTAAACTCGGAGAGGGTGCATTGCACAATGCGCTAACCAATGCGCCACCACTCCACCCCAATATGCATTGGAGTACAGTATATGAAAACGTGAATGCAGCCTATGGTAACAGCGCTGAATCGTATGCACTAGATGTTGATGTATATAGCCAGCATGCACGTTGTAATCAGCGTGTGTGACAATTCACACGAAATCGCTAAAGTAACGTATATTTGCACGCACAATGGGAAATAGGAAACTTACACATTTAAGGACGTTTTGGCCAAAATATTGTTTTATAAATTAGTTTCACTCCTGACTGTAGGTGCTGCCTAACAGCACTTTCATTAGCAGCCTAGGCGATACGGGGGTATGCTGCGCATTTATCTTTGAGATGAAACGCGTTACAAACTTATTTCTTTCAACAGCGACCCAGGTAAGTGTATCGTTTTCACGTGGGTTATAGTCCCTGCGACAATTTAAATCGGGTATTTATTTAAATCCCATGTAAATCGCCTACCGCCGTGCACATATCGACAAAACAATACGTTCATGAGAACGTTAACAGAAGCGTTGTTGTTGTTGCGAGACGATCATTAATCTTGTGAATAAATACATGCAAATGGCACGGAAGAGATAGAACTCACCTTTTAAAGTTTACAGGAAGCTGACTCTTTCCAGTGCTAAAAGCCACGGGGTTGTTGTGCCCAGAGCCAAATCCAATGCGGGTAGGAGCTCTCTGTATGTGTGTGTGTGTGCAGGGGAAGGAGCTTTTAACACAGCTGGCTGTCTTCTCGCTCCCCGCCTCCACCCCCTTACCCCCCCCATCTCATCACAGCCCCTCTCCTCACCTCCACACTCTCAGCAGTTTAAAGGACTCTTCCTGCCTCTCTCGCTCGAAACGTGAGTGACGGTGCTTTCATGCAAATATAATGCCAACCCTTATTACTCGGATTACGCTGGGTTTGCGGCTGCACGTGGGTTAAATTCCGTCGAATGAATGAAAACATTTTTTTCCCGTGCTCAGTCCCTGCGTCCTAAACACGTTCATTCGGGACAAATAAAAACTAAACGAAGGGGTGCTAAATGTGTATCTTGATGTTCAGTGAATTTTATGTTGATTTAGTGAGGTATATATATAATTTTTTAACGGGAAAATTATTAAAAATGCACGGTCACTTCATCAGTGTAATTTTTTTTGTTTGTTCAGATAAGTGCTGTTTATTCCACTTGAAATGGACTAAGCAACGTGGTTTAAAGGTTACCACACTCAAGGCCTCGACGAGTGCTGTATTCTAATCGCCTTATTTCCTCAGAAAGGACAACAAAATATTCCCATAAGTTGAGTCATTTCTCACACTGCTAAACGCACACGCAGCGGCAGGAGCAGTTTTTACAATGCCGGTTTTTCTCTCTCAAGGCGGCGTAACAATACAGAGTGCTTCAACATTGTTTTTAACACTTATATGGGACTATCGTTTTTCATGAAAAAAGAAAGGATAGTACACTCTGACATGATAACAAATGTATGTCGAGAGCTTAAAAAAAGTCAAAGAGTCTCCACTTGTTCGCCATCGCTGTCCACACTAAATGTCTGAAATGTTCTCCAGGTGGTCTCCAGAGCCCGGAGGCAGCAGCACATTTCTTGTGGAATTGTTGCAAATTAACCCAAGTATTAACCATGTTTTTGAAGCGACTTGTATCTCGACTCAAGCCCCTTTTCCCGAAGCTTTCCTTGACCTTCCGCTTTCCCTCCAGCCAATCATCTTCCCCATTTCTTTAGAACTGCTTTTTGTGTTTAGTTTGCTGTCCTTCCCCCGCACCTCCAGTCATCACGGTTGGTTACGTACGGTGCGAAAGAAGTTCAACATACATACATACATACACACATCACTGGAATAGATGATGGCCGTTGGTTGAGACTGTTATTGGAGTGGTAGCGAAGTAATTGCACAACACCAAAGAGAATGACCACTGTGGTGATATAGCAATGAGCTCAACTCATACGATAACATCAGCTCGTGTGTAGAAACTCGATGGGGTGTAGAATCTCGGGACCATGAGGGGATGATGACGAATTGGGGAGGCCTTTTTTTCACCAGTGTATAGAACGCGGTTGATGATGACACAGAGGTACTCGTACCCGATTCAGCTTCCATTTGAGAATTGTGCCGTCCATAATAGTCAGAAATGAAACCTAGGTCGCCAGAACCTTCGATATTTTTCATTAAAATATATATACAAAATGGCAGTTATTAGTCAGCAAAGCCACTTTGTATTGAAACATGGGTTCACTTCCAGCTAGTCGTTCGGGATAACACTCAAAAGCTCCACACAGATAGATCACCTCCATGCACTATGCGAGCACGTGTCCGAGGCGCGTGAACGTCGCGAGTCTCTGCAAACCGCAATGGGTGAATGGAGGAAGTGGTGCAATAACACAAAGGCCGAAGATCGTACCTTTACAGCAGGAGTCAACGCGCTTCTGTTATTGCCAACTACAACGGAATAAGCTATTACTCCAATGTAAAGGACCGTATGGAGTAGTGGGTCAGACTGGTGTTGCGGACCGTAGGATAGCAGGCGATGGTCTGTGGAGCGGTGTTCTTCATTGCAAGGCCCACGGGCCACTGACGGTCCCTGGTGGCTTTGAGTGCGGCCCGGGACGTGCGGTCCCCGACAATACACAACACGTGACAACAAATCAAAATCCCCATCATCATCATCATCGTGCTGCTGTCCAACCGCCAATGGTTTCAAATGTGTGGCGGCCCTCACACCGATGACGTTTTATCGGCGAAAGTGCTCACCCCCCCCCCCCCCCCCTCTTAAAATGTATGAAGAATTTTGGTGTAGAGATAATATATCACGCGAATTTTCTCAATAAATATATCAACGGGCAGGTTTTGCAACCGGTGGTCAAAAACATAAATGTCCACTGATGTGGGTTTGCTCAATTAAAAGTTGTTTTGGCTGGGACTGTTGACATGCCAAATGAGATTGAGATAATGGAGGAGCCTGAACTTGGCTTAGTTCCGTCACCACAGGATCCAGAGGAGACTTGTCCACACCTGTGTGTGGCTAAACAGTTGAGCCAGGAACAAAAGACAGCAGGGATTTTGCTGGAGAAGCAGTCATGTTTTGACAAATGAACCGGGACAGACCGATATAACGAATTTTAAGATTGTGCTGGAGGACGTCACTCCTGTAAACCAGATACCCATTCCAGTTCCATTAGCAGTAAAATAGCCGATTGAAAAGGAATGCAATGCTCTGAGGAAGATGGGAGTGATGAACACCAAGTCTAGTCGCGGCCTATAGATTCGAACCGTGAACCACTGCAACAAGCGGCAAAAGGCGCTGCTGCTAGGCCATGCCACCGCCCCCCACTTGACTATAATTCACCAATCATCTACTTCATTTACTCAGAAAGTTTCGATCTCAGAGTTTTTCAGTAGGGTCCATACATTGTTGTACATTGTGTATCTTTGTTTCAGATTGACTTCACACTTGAGTATTTTTTTCAAAGTTAGTAAGTAGTGGATGATGCATTCCCAGGCGCAATGTGGATGTAATGGAAACTACGAATGTTTTAAGAGCATACATGCTTTGGGCACTTGAGGAAAACAAATCCACAGACATCCAAAACTAAATAATTAAACGATGTATATGTGGCAGCCTTCTGTAGAAAAATCCACACGGCCTTCTCGGAGTGCATCATTTCAGCAGCATCGGTTCAACACAACCACAATTTGGACGGTGTTTTGACATGGGGGGAGGTACTCTATATGCGACGTATACAGTGAGGGAAAAAAGTATTTGATCCCCTGCTGATTTTGTACGTTTTCCCACTAACCAAGAAATGATCAGTCTATAATTTTAATGGTAGGTTATTTGAACAGTGGGAGACAGAATAACAAAAAAATCCAGAAAAACGCATGTCAAAAATGTTATAAATTGATTTTGCATTTTAATGAGGGAAATAAGTATTTGACCCCTCTGCAAAACATGACTTAGTACTTGGTGGAAAAACCCTTGTTGGCAAGGACAGAGGTCAGACGTTTCTTGTAGTTCACCACCAGGTTTGCACACATCTCAAGAGGGATTTTGTCCCACTCCTCTTTGCAGATCTCCAAGTCATTAAGGTTTCGAGGCTGACGTTTGGCAACTCGAACCTTCAGCTCCCTCCACAGATTTTCTATGGGATTAAGGTCTGGAGACTGGCTAGGCCACTCCAGGACCTTAATGTGCTTCTTCTTGAGCCACTCCTTTGTTGCCTTGGCCGTGTGTTTTGGGTCAGTCATGCTGGAATACCCATCCACGACCCATTTTCAATGCCCTGGCTGAGGGAAGGAGGTTCTCACCCAAGATTTGACGGTACATGGCCCCGTCCATCGTCCCTTTGATGCGGTGAAGTTGTCCTGTCCCCTTAGCAGAAAAACACCCCCAAAGCATAATGTTTCCACCTCCACGTTTGACGGTGGGGATGGTGTTCTTGGGGTCATAGGCAGCATTCCTCCTCCTCCAAACACGGCGAGTTGAGTTGATGCCAAAGAGCTCCATTTTGGTCTCATCTGACCACAACACTTTCACCCAGTTGTCCTCTGAATCATTCAAATGTTCAATGGCAAACTTCAGACGGGCATGTATATGTGCTTTCTTCAGCAGGGGGACCTTGCGGGCGCTGCAGGATTTCAGTCCTTCACGGCGTAGTGTGTTACCAATTGTTTTCTTGGTGACTATATGATCCTCCCGTGTAGTTCTGGGCTGATTCCTCACCGTTCTAATGATCATTGCAACTCCACGAGGTGAGATCTTGCATGGAGCCCCAGGCCGAAGGAGATTGACAGTTCTTTTGTGTTTCTTCCATTTGCGAATAATCGCACCAACTGTTGTCACCTTCTCACCAAGCTGCTTGGCAATGGTCTTGTAGCCCATTCCAGCCTTGTGTAGGTCTACAATCTTGTCCCTGACATCCTTGGAAAGCTCTTTAGTCTTGGCCATGGTGGAGAGTTTGGAATCTGATTGATTGCTTCTGTGGACAGGTGTCTTTTATACAGGTAACAAGCTGAGGTTAGGAGCACTCCCTTTAAGAGTGTGCTCCTAATCTCAGCTCGTTACCTGTATAAAAGTCACCTGGGAGCCAGAAATCTTTCTGATTGAGAGGGGGTCAAATACTTATTTCCCTCATTAAAATGCAAATCAATTTATAACATTTTTGACATGCGTTTTTCTGGATTTTGTTGTTGTTATTCTGTCTCTCACTGTTCAAATAACCTACCATTAAAATTATAGACTGATCATTCCTTTGTCAGTGGGCAAACGTACAAAATCAGCAGGGGATCAAATACGTTTTTCCCTCACTGTATCGTCTGCTTTTTTGTTATATTCCCACATGGCGCTCATGATTATATTCTCTATTTTGTGGTTTTGCGTTGAACTAGGACCCATATCAGAGTCCTTGCCTCTAAACATTTGGTCCATTCAAGCCTGCCTCTTCTGATGAGACACCGATAATCAAAGCCAGTGCATTTCTCTTGTGTTGAACCAATGAGGCTGAAATTATGAACTTCCAGAAGGCCGTGTGGCTGATGGAATGTGAAAATACTTGTTTTTGTGTGGGAGGGGGGCAGATATGTAAAGGTGTAGATGTATTCTTACTCCACGACGCGAATGATGTTATGCCAAGGAAGGAATACTGACACTGCTTGGCATTGCTCATAAAGCCAAATTGTTAAATATCAAAAAACATTCCTGCTAGAGGTGCTAGTACTTGAATTAATGCTGCTATCGCACAATGATTATTTGCTGAATAGAGGATTCTGTAGAAGTGTGGTCTGATGGGGTGAGGTTTTGAGTGTATAATCGTATCCACTGGCTTTTAGTTAAAATAAGTGCTGTCAGTAAAATTAAAGTGTTTGAAACATACAGTATGGATAAAATATAAAACACTTATGAAACATATAATTCCGTAAACTATCCCACGTATATTTAACATTTCTTGATTTTATGTCAATTGCATTTGACTGAGACCCCCCCCCCATCCCCCCTCACAAGCGGAGTAATTTCTCCGATTCTCTTAGAAACACAGTGCATGGTGTTCAAAACAAAAGCTGTGCTGTGCAAACCAAAGCTGACTTATCACCTACCCACCGTCAGTGCTTACGGCTTTATGGTTCTAAATTCAACAGCAGTGCTCTCGCGTGCACTTATTGCCAATTTGCGTGCTGGTGCATATGTGGGCCCCCACTCCAAAGTGCCCTCTCAGACTGGGGACAGCCACGCATTCCTGATGTGGTTCTGCGTGTGTGTGAGCCCAGGGTTGGGTGTGTTGGGAATCGACGCGGATGAAACCTCCCCCCTCTCCCCCATTTGCATTTGTATCCAAGGCGCGTACGTCCTTAAATGAAGTAGCCAACCGGTCTCAAGGAGCCACCCTCACAGCTGATTAGGATTCAACGAGCGGTACCTGATCCGAGACGCCACAGGCTACTCAAGCCACGCGCGTATGGTTTATTTTTCTTAAAAAAATAAAGCTTGCGTAATTGTTGCTGGCTTAAATGTGAACGCACACAATTACGGTTGAGTACTAATACTGCGTAAAAGGAATGCTATTACAAAAAAGGGATGTTTCGGCCGATTGACATCCATCAAAAAATATTTATTTGGACTGAACCCTGCATGTATTGCAGTGAGTGGTGTTTTAATAAAGTAATATCTATGCTAATGGTGAGGTGCTTGTGTGGTTTAGAGAGCCAGTGCAGACAGTTTTGGTA